TTAAGCACAGAATTAATAACTACCAGAAATAGAAAGGCTTCAGAGTCATTGTAGCATCTGGAAATTTTCACTTCAGGTGAAGGGCTGAAAGTAACTTCTGTATTTGCCATGAAGAATCCACCAAAATGTATTGTTGTCATTGCCAGTCTGAATATCATAAATGATCTTTTCTGGGCCCTCTTAATGAAACTGACATACCTGTCAGGGTTAGTGACTGAAAACACTGTTAAATCAAAAACCTTTCAAAATTATTTTGCCTTCCCTAGTATAGTAAGAGGCCTGCAGTTTTTGAAGGTAGTTCTTATATCCCGATGTCTGAAATTCAACTGAAATGCAGAACTGAGCCAGTTCTTCTGACATTGCAGGAACAGTTCATGGAATCACAGAATCACTGAGGTCGGAAGGGACCTCTTGAAATTATCTAATGCAACCCCTCTGCTCAAGCAGGGTCTCCATGAGCAGTTTGCCCAGGGTTGTATCCAGTCATGTTTTAACAATGGACACTCTACAACCTTTCCAGGCAACGTATTCCAGTCCTGTTCCTGTCTGGTTCCAACTTCCCAACTGACATGAGGTTTGGCTAAAGACAGGCCTTTTAATGTGTCCTTTTGGCATTTAGGTTAAGAAGTTAGGTATCATAGCTTCCCATGCAAAACAATTGGCTGCATGTTGGACTAGAAGCTGTAAAAGCTGGAGTGGATCCCAAGGATAAGCTGTAACCAGATGATGTAAGGGACTTCCACAGAAGGATCATCTTGATGTAAGGGATTCCCTTGTAAGGAAAAGCTCTCTGCTGTGTCCAATGCCACCCTGTGCAGTGGGGATCTTCAGCCTTTCAAGAACATTGTGCAAGTCTGTTTTTTTTCCCCGGAATTGGTAACTTTGCATGTATATTCAACAGCTTGGTAGCATAAACACTGTTGCTTTCAGAGGAAGCTACTTGGAAAAGCAGGGAGGATTGCCTGGGGAGAGCTGTACTGTAGAATCATTGGCAAAAACAGTGGAACCTGTAGTCGCTGCCTCTGACAGAGAAAAGACACTGTCAGCCAAATGTATGGATGCAAGATACTGCTGATCAAGGCCAGGAATACCTTCCTCGCTGCTTTCAGTTCCAGCTTGCTCGGAGTTGAACTTCATGTACTATTGAGGATAGTTGGGTAGATGAAAGCTGCCTTCACACTGAAGCATTTGTCTAAGGTGCCTGTCAGCAAAATGTGTCAGTATGCAGTCTGTGGTACATGTGCCATGGTAGCTAGCTTGTGTGTTGCGTATTTAAATCTGATCTGGAAAAAATCATGCATCATACTTCTGATGAATTATTCTCACTGAATCAGAGTGATAGTTACAATCAATGTGTTTCAGAGCAGTCTTTGAGAACCTGTTTGATACAAAGAATCATGGAGCCAGACTTTTCCAGTTTGCCATGTATGTTGAGACTCCGTCACTGACATTAATCCACTGCACATTTCCGCAGAAGAATGGCAGAAAATAACTGCATATGCTAGTTGTGAATGTAAACTTGAAAGTGAAGGACACTTTCTCTGACTAGAAGCTGTCATTTCAAGGAGATGTTTTCTCCACTTCCTTCCTGGAAGGTATTGATGCTCTAGGAGTTTGCCAGTGTATCTGCTCTTTGATCACCACTGTACGCACAATTAAACAAGACTTGGTGTTATCTTGTCATTCTGGCATCACCAAGTGTATCCTTTCTTTTGATTATATATATTAGCGTAGTGGTTTACTTGCACATTGTCAAGCACACAAAGCATTTGTCCTAGCAACACATACAGGAGCATGTCTGCCTTTATCCCCTCTATACGTGTATGTCAAAAGGAGTGGACTTGCTCTTTTGCATTCCACTTGACTTACTCAGTAGCAGTGTCAATATTTAGTTTGGGAGTACTTTTTATTTGAAGCTTTATTATTTTGGGCTCCAGACTTTAATTTTTAAGAGCTCCTCCTGTTACTCAGGCCAAGGACAAACATGTTTTTCTTCTGTGTAGAATGACTTGGGTCTCTGTTGCCCTGATAATGCATTCTGACAGCTCTTGACTCTGCTTTGTGCTCCCTAATGAAGAGGTGACAGCAGGCATGTGCTTGCAAAGCAGGCCTGCCAGCCATACTCATGGGAAGTACCTTGCAGGCAAATCTATAAGCTCAACTGGGAACAAAGTGAGATGTTTGTGCTGAAGAAAAGCTGGCTGTTTTGAAGTGCTGCTCACAAGCAAAGCTGTGTGCTTATAATTAAAAGATTCTGCAGTGTTGTGCATCCTTGAAGGTGTCTTGGCCATAGCACTGTCTGGAGAAGTCTGTTGCATCTTGAACATTAATTTGTATGCAAGAAATAGTAGCCTAACAATGTCCACCTGCGCTTATTTATACTGAAGTAATCTGAAACAACTTAACAAACAGCATTTTTCTGTCTCGCAATGGTTGGTTCAGGCACCATCTACAGTCTCTTCAAAACAGAGCTTCAATGACTAGAAAACATCAGAGCTATTATTGGAATTAAGAGGATTAAAGGTCTCCAGGGATCTTTAGTCTGCTGCCAGTCTTCAGTGTGTAAGGTTTAATAGTCCTGTTAGCTAAAATGTATTCATGTCTGTTGCAGCACTAGTTAAAAAGAGCTAGCTAAGAGAAAAGGTGCATTAAAGGCAGACCTCTGCAAGCAGCTTCTTTCAGGATGCACTGCCATACATTCCAACACAGCCTTCTCAAACAGATTGTTGTCCTGATAATGCTAAGTATTTTCTGGAGATAAAAGTTTTCCTGGCTGGTCATTTAAACAAATTCCTCACTCTTGTGCATTGACACTTGGGACATCCTTATAAATTCCTCTATATCTAAGATGTCATTACCTGCCAAGGTAATGTGCCCTGATTTTTCCTCTGGGCCACTTGATATACTTTGGTTTTATGACTGTGTATCAAAGCCCTTGCAAAGCTTTGTAAGTTTTTGGTTGTTTTTTTAACCAAGCTCCTTTCTTCAAGAGGCTGTGGTTCAAGAGGCCCAGTAAGATTCCTGATACCAGGGGGTACAAATGTAGGTTCTTACTGTCATGAATCACTGAAGACACCTCTGGTGTTTCTGGGTTGTATGGCTAGACATGTTTTGTCATTTCTTGCATCAAGCTGGCTAGCAGAGATGCTTAAGAACTTGGTGAATGTACCACTGGTACACTGAAGTCCTTTATATGACTTGTTTGTATTTTATCCTATAGTAGATACATATTCTTTAGTGGATGTTTATAGGATACTACCTCTCCCGTCCCCCAGATAAGACAGAATGTCTCCTTGGTTTAGTGAACCTGCTTTAAAAGACTCGAGTCTTAAAGCTTGTGGACTCATTGACATTAATTTGGAATGCTGAGGGTTGTTAGATGGGTTTGTTTGCCTTCTCATGTCTTATTCTCGCAGAAAATATTACGACTTTGGTTTTCTCTGATAAAGAAGCATTCAGACATGCCACCTTCAATGCATGAGAATTCTCTAACGTGGTTAATATTTTTTTTATGCCTGTGAAAACTATTTCCTCTGTGTCAGTTTTAGACAGCACATGTGCTAGTGTTCATGGAAGTTGACCAAGACCTATTCCCAAGAACCATTTGATCACTTGCTTTTGCACCAGTCTAGACAATGTAATGCACTGCAAGCATATGGAAGTGCACTTGTGCAGTAACCCTTAGGTGGTTTTGCTGACTCTCTCAACTCAAATCATCATGTGGCAATTTGGGCTGAGTGTGAAGAGGTACACATAGGAGAAAATACATGGTTCTTGACACAGTAATGGCCATTTTTTTCAGTTTTTTCAATGTATTGTAACTAAATGTTCTTGTTAATGTTATCTTGATGAGTGACACGTATTATTCTTGTTATGTAAGATCATACTTAAAGTTGTTTTTGTTATGCTTCTATGGTATGTTGCTAAGACAGAACAGCAAAGAATGATTTTAGCAAGATTTATAAAGTTCTGATAGGTATGGACATCAATATAGTAAGGTACATGCTACCCCTGAGTAGTAGCAAGTAATTCAACTCCTCAGTGTTTTGTTCATTGATCTGCCTCTGAAAAGGACTTTGGTGTGATGTGGACTCAGGAGAGTTGTTTCCTCTGAGGAAGGAACATCAAGATGGAGCTACATAAAACTTAATAACTTTATTGCAGGAGTTGTTCTTGCTTTGGGACCAATGTGAAAACACTGAGAGCTTTTTTTACCTCAATTCCACATAGATATTCCTGCTAAGCTACTGTTAGGTTGATCTAGGTTGAAACTGCGTAGCTTTAGGAAGTGGAATTTTACTGCAAGTTTGTTTCTACAGTTCTCAAACAGTGCTCTCAAGGTTGTGATGTCAGACCATGTGAAATATTTATTACTGAATTTAGCAAGAGGTAGAGACATATGGACTGGCAAAACATCTGGGTCCAGAGGGAAGCTATGGTCATAGTTTAAAATTATATGAAATTTATTATGATCCAGAAATTTCTTCCCTAATATCAGAACTTTTTAAAAGAAACAATAATTCCCTGAGTGTGACAGCAGATAGCCTTTACAACACTGCCTGACAGGTGTGGTCTTGTTTCTTAAGTATACAATCAAATCCACCTTCCCTCAGTAAACTGAGACAGAAACTAGTTTGTGATATCCTCACCTGTGTCGAAGATTAGGGGGGTTAACGTACAAAAGACCTAAGTTTGTGGAGTATTTCATCATCTTCTGGTCCTTCTAGGAGAAAAGAGAGACTATACTTGTTTAGAAGCAAGTCTGAGTTGTGTTGCATAGATTAGATATTTGCCCTGTACTGATGTGGTCATATGTGTCCTTCAAAATGGAGGAGGAAGCATTACAAAAATGCTGCCCTGTAGTAACTGCCTCATGCTTAGTTCCCTGTGGATGTCCACTTCAAAGTCTGTGTAAAATGCATGTTGTAAAAATGCAATTGGCAAAATTATTTAGACTTAGAGATGCAACTGATCATTGACTCTACTTTTTGTTTTCCAAGGTGGAGAAAGTACACAGGGGTGATCACATGGATGGGCTTCTTTATCCTGCTAAGAAAATACCACCGACAGCAAAAAGTGATACAGAGCAAGAAAAGGCATCTCAGAATGTTCCTTCTTCAAAAGTAGACCGTTTGTTAAAACCAAATATGGAGACCACGCCTGCATCACTTAGTAGTGACTTCAAGCAGAAAGTTGTTAACATCTTGCTGAAGTATTCCAGTGGTCTTTGGGCTAATGCGCTTCCCAAATTGTACCAAGACACTTACCAAGTAAAATTTCCAGAAGACATTCTAAATAATCTAGAGCTGCTCTCAGATATATGTATAGTGGACTATGTATCTGAAGCCCCCAGAAAGGCCATCCTCTATGCTAAACCCCAAAGATGCACTGATGAAAACCTGAATGTCACTGAGAAAGTCCAGAGGCCTGATGGTGTGAAGGCCACAGCTGAAGAGTCCAAGGACCAATATCCAGAGAACATAACTGTTCCTCCTCTAATCATTCCATCGGAAGGCTCTGTGTCCGTCATGGTGTTAGAACTGAAAAACACTAATGACGTCTTAATTAGGCAAGTTTGTACTTCACAGTCTATCTTTTTTGCTTAATTTATAAATCCACATACTCATAATGTGCAGGTCTGCCATAAGAGAACAGATAAACAGGAGGTTGGAGGACTTTGTTATTTACTTATTTTGATAACGAAATTTCAGAATCCTTTTGTTTGTGTGCTTAAATGGAAATTTTCTGGAACTTTTTCTGTGCTGACCTGATCAGTTCTATCATTAACTTGTCTGAGAATCAAAGCAGATTTGACTTGCCATTGGAAGACTTTAAAATAACCGTACTATAACACAGAGGTATTCAGATACTTCTGCAATGCTTACTAAAATATTTTTAACTTCTATAACTGACTTACTACTAGTCAAGGTGTGACTTGAGCTGGACTTGTGTCCAGATTACACTGCAGTTTTCACTTCTGGAGACAGATGAGCTTCCATCCAACAATAACCTACTAGTGCTTCTTGGTTTGGTTGCTAATCAGGACAGTGTAAGAAGTGGATTGTAGTGGCTATCTTACTTAATTGTTACTGTACAACAGTACAGGAAAAAAATATATATAACATATAATGTTAGATTATACACTGCTGGACCACATTTACCTGTCAACATAAGTGCTAAATTTTATGTCAGTTACTTTTCTATAGCCCTGTTAATGGGAAAAGAGTCTGAATACTGATGTGCTTAGAAAATGTATATACCATAATTCACTCATAGCCATATATGCATATAAATGTTCTTAGGGTTTTATCCAGCTTTTTGAAGTTACATCCTAACTCCTGTGGTGTTTTTTTGTAAAATATTGTAGGTATGTGGGAAAAGATTATTCTTCTGCCCAGGAACAAATGGAAGATGACATGAAAGCATACTATAGTCAGAATAGTACAGTGTCACTAGCTCAATCGCTGAGCGTTGGGCAACTCGTTGCAGTACATGCTGAAGAAGACGCCTGGTTGCGTGCTCGGATAATTTCTCTAGAAGACAACAGAATAAAGGCAAGCAATTACTTCTTTTGGCACTTGGAGAAAGACTTGAAGCAATCTTATTTTTTAGATACGCAGTCAATTCCTAAATATGTCTTGTACCCAAGTATCTGTTACATGGACTAAATAGCAAGACAATGAGAAGGATATGCTTGTGTTCCCTTCCAGGCAGATCTGGTATTCTGGGGGTTATATCCAGTGTACATTTTAGTACAACTCCTCTGAGATTATTTAATTCCTCTGTTAAACTTTTCCTCAGTCAAGCAGACTCTTCTTGCCGTCCACAATGAAACTAGAACATCAATAGAACTGTAAAAAAAGTTTCAAATTTCTCAGTTATTTCTTGCCTAGTCAAACATAAATGATACCTTTTTATTTTTTGTTTCTTCCCGTAGTGAGCCCAGGTCTGCTTAACATACTTCTAAAGTTGATTCATTTCATAAATATTTAAATAGCACATGTGTTAGAATTAAGTTTTTTCTGAAAGTTATTGTGATACCCTTCAGCTGGAACTTGTAGGAGAGCGTTAAGAACTCAGTTTTGTGAAAAATTGTTGAGTTTGGAGAAGTGACAAGGACATTGGTAGCAAGCTTGCTTCCAAATTTCTATCTAGCTAGAGCTATCAGCCAAAAGAAGGCTACTGCTTCATTGCAGCATTTGCTGACTATCCTCTGACACAGTGCCCAGACTCCATTTTCAGTGTTTGGTATGCAGACATTTTGCATGATAAGAGTTTAGAAAAAAGATGTAAAAAGTCCTGTCAAAGCCTTTTTTCTCTTACTTTAGCTCCAAGTATTCACTGCCGATCAGCAGTTTCCCTACTTGTTGCCTGCATTGACTGTGGTATTTGTATCAAAGTTAGCATAAACATAAATAAATATTATTCTCTTAACACTGTAAAAACAAAAGGCAAAACATAGAATGGCATGTAAGTAGTATTGGACTTGCAGCACTTTTGAAACTTTACAAATAAAAATTGCTGCTTTATTACCTTTCTTCATGTCATTTGAGGTAATATGTGCTGAGTCCTTCCAGCAGCACTGTTCCTATTAAAAGCTGAGATTCTGTGGAACAGTTGGAGAGGAGGGTTTTACAGAGATCTTGAGAATGCTTTCCCTGATAACTCTGAACATTCAAGCAGTGAAATAAATAGGAGATTAATGGTGTTATATAGTACTAAATTGGCGAAAAGTGATTTGTTTGCAGCTGCACAGAGAAGGTGATAACTGAATACACTTTCCCTAGACTCAAGAAAACATATTTACAATTATATTCACGATCTTACACTTTTATTACCTTTTCCATTATCAGGTATGCTATGTTGATCATGGCTTCAGTGAGTTTGTTGAAAGCAACAGTGTGTACAAACTACAGAAACAGTTCCATTCACTTCCATTTCAAGCTGCAAAATGTAAACTGGCAGGTAAGAGAAGGCCAGTGTTGACTCTACAGCTCGCTGTTGCACAATTTATGGATTGAAGCATCTCAGCCTGGGAGTTTTGATTCTTGTTTGTAATAATCCTATGTATGTTAGATTTTGTCCAAGACAGACAGTATAAGCAGACACAGGTATGCATGGAAAGAAGGAAAAAGAAGGAAGGAAGGTTGTGAAGGAGGGGTTTATAAAGAAACCTTGAGATTAGAAGACCTTGATATCCAGTACGTCTGTAACGCAGCCTAGTTGTTTCTGCACTTAGCTTCAATGTCTTTGTCCCTTTAATATATGCGAGCCTAAAGAAATATAAGGAAACATTTACTGTTGTGTGAAGCAATTAACTAGCACAACCCCTTTTTCCACAAATGAGACGCATCTGTTGTGGCCAGGTTGGGCAATATTCCTAAACATGATCCTATTTAGTTATTTTAAAGTGATCCTTCCCATTTCAGTACTTGCAGACTTTCCTAGACTCTACTAGAAATCACTTACTTTCCTAAAACTGGTAGGCATTTCTAACTTCAAAAATATATTATTTTAAATATATAAAATTGTCATGAATGAACTTTTTTTTTGTTTGGTTGGTTTTCTTAATACTTGGTTGCACTCCTTTTTTCTCTACACATTTGCCTTGACTCTTTCTGAAGAGGATCTTTGTTGTTGTTGTAATTTTTTTCCCCCTGAAGGCAGCTTTCTGTGTTAAAAAGATGGAAATTAAGCAGAATGCAAGTAGGGGTGCAGTACAACTTTTCTGCTACATCCTGATTCTTGGAAAGATTTCTGTTGTGAACACAGACCTGGTTATTATTTTTCCCTTCAAATACAGTGATAGATAAAAAGTATGGTGTGTCTTACAGGACTGGAAGTCTTCTGTGATGATCCTGTACTAGTAAAAACTGTGGAATTGCAGACATGCTCCAAGATATTTGCTGTGGAAATACTGGAGAAGAGTGATATTCCACTTCTTGTTCTCTATGACACTTCCGGAGAAGACGATATCAACATCAATGCTACTTGTCTGAAGGCATTGTATGACAAGTCACTTGAACTGCACCTACAGGTACCATTTTCCTGTTTCCTTCTTAATGCATTAAAAATCATTGACTGCTAAGGTCTTGGATGGACAAACTGCTAAGGTCTTGGATGGACAAAAAACAGTACTCAGAAATTCGCTAACTTTGTGTTTCTGGGTTTTTTTTTTTCTCCTTTCTTGTCAAAATTTTACTGTTGCAGGTAGATGCACTATATAAGAATGTTAGAGTAACCAGTGTTTTCTCTGATGGAAGCCTGTATTGCCAAGTGCCATCTAAAGGCTTGTCTAGACTTTCTGAAATCTTGCAGAAACTAGAAGACTACTTCCACCACAAGGTAGGTTCTATGGCAAGAGAAGTGGTGACATTGTGTAGCCTTTCTTCAGAGTGACCAATCATTCTCATTGCACGTAAGTTCAAGTTTCTGAGGTAGCCAAACACTATTCAAAAAGGTTATGCATTCTCTTCTTAGTTTTTTGGAGTGCATCCTTCAGCGTGAAAAGTGTCTTTTGATGCATTCTTGTTCACAAGTTGTCTCTAAGGCTTTAGTAACTACTTACAGCTTTCCTTGAATAGTTAGAACAGTAACAATATGGGTCATAATGGGAAGCTTTCAATGGAAACTGCACCAGATTGGTAGAAAGGCTGTAGAGATACTGCTGTTTGGTTTTTTTTTTTCTTCTGGAAGCTTTACTTACATGATGGAGCTGAGGTGCGTAAACAGCCTGGCCCACAGCACACCCTGCAAGGTGACAATAAAAGCAGTGTACTAAGGTCTGTTCTTTTTAGCATGGCTTCCTTGGAGATTCGATAGCTTTGATCTGATCTGCTGCACATCATGTCCTTGTACCCTTAGCTTTTTAATGTTGTGGCAAATTGCAGCTAAAACTGATGTATAGGGAGACGTCTTAACATTGCTTTAAAATAGGCATGTGGCAGAGAAGTCTGACATTCTACTGGCCATTTACAGACACATGCAACAACCCTTACTCAAGGGAATTTATACAAAAGAGAAGAAGTCTTAAGAGAATCTAATTTGTTCAACATTCAACTGAGCCTTAGAGAATCAAACCAGGAAATACAGATCCTTGAAGGTCCTGTTAAAATGGCTGCTTGTGAAACTACTCTGTCAAAGTGTTTTTAGGTGTAGAAGTTGAGCTTTAGACCTGTTCTGGAACACACAACATCTGGAAATACTTTATATTGAACATGTCTCAGGTATCAAGATCCAGTTTCAAGCAAGCTAAACACTGAAGGAAGGCATATAGAACCCTGAAAGGTTTAGTGACACAAAGGCTGGCAGCCACACAGGTATTCAGGTGTTTCAAAAATTCAGATTTTCTGGACAGAATGTGTGTTAGGTTCTTGTTGCTATCAAAGAGAGACCTTGACATTCAGAATCTTTTAGCATCAATCCGTATATGGTGGTAAAAGAAGCGATCTTGACTTTGCAGCTTATCTTGAGTGTTTTTATTTTGCCTGAGAATTTAAACAAACTAAGGTGTTGATGAGTCTTCAAATGGAGTTTCTTCATGCATTTTATAGTGTAGCCATTGTCTTGTGATGTTATTTGGGATTGTCATGGTGAATGCCACCCACATGAGACTTCCATTTGAGTCAGTAGTAAATTTCATTTATTAAATATCTCAACAAATTATGTGTTCTAGAATGTAGGTTTAGGAGCTTCTTCCGTTGTCTGTCACAGCTCTAAACTTCATAAACTGCTCTTGCTTTTCAGAATATTAAAGTAATGGTCAGTGATTTCATATTCTGTGTTTCAAAACATGGCTTTTTTCCCCGGCACTTTATATTCTGTTGTTTTCCCTGTAAGATATACAGCCTGGAATTAAAGCTTTACTGATTGGGGAAGCTTAAAACAACACGATAACAAATGCTTCTGAGGCTGGAAAGAGACTTTATATTGAAACAGAGTTTTTGCTTCTCAGAACTGTTTATTCCATGTGTGGCTTTTTAAATGGTTAGTTGAGTGCCAGATAGCAATAGCTCCATGCTTTTTAACTTCTGTCTTTATATTTGCAGCAGACACCTGAGTTTAACGTATCACTACCTTTCTGTGGCAAAATCTGCTTGTTTCCTTCCAAAGGAAAATGGGCACGTGTAGAGGTAAGAAGTATTCAAAGGACAGCTACAGTTTTCCCCCGCAGAAATGTCTTTTCTTTTTGTTTAGCTAAATCTGAAGGCTTAGTTTCTGTGAAACTTACTACAGTGTATGTCTCACTGTCGTGTTTTAACCTCAAAATGATGCTCTTGCTTTCTTCTTTCAGATAAGAATTATTCACACTAGACGGGCACTTGATGTGCAGTTCATGGATACTGGAACAGTTGCAACTGTAAAAGTATCAGAGCTTAGAGAAATCCCACCACAATTCCTTAGAGAAGTAATTGCAATACCTCCTCAGGTATAAAGACATGTTAAAGCTAACCTATGCTAGATCTCTTGGCAGGTTTGTAGTGCTGCTACAAGGTTTATGTAATGAACTTTTGCTTTGTTTAATAGCATTCAACGTTGGAGTGTATTTCATTGTGCATCTTTGCCTGAAATAAATGTAATATATATGTAGTCCTATGTATTGACAGGATGTTGTGTATGTGTAATGGTACTGGTTTTGCATGTTCCTCTGTCTCTTTCTGTTTTTCATACATTATTGAATCGATCAGCATTAGTGAAGTTTCTGTGAATAGGAACTTGTGGACTAGTTTCGATATTACTAAATTACATCCTGTATACTTAATTCTGTTCTTAGGCTATAAAATGCTGCCTAGCAGATCTGCCTCCTAACACTGGCATGTGGACTCCAGATGCCGTGCTGTGGCTGAGAGACGCTGTAATGAATTGTCCTGAATTTAGCATGAAGGTAAACACTCAAAATGCCTGTGTGACTTGAAATCCATAGGTGTGTGGAAAGAGCATTGAAAGAACAACTCTAGAAGCTTAACCACTCATCAAGTTGATTTTTGTTGTAGAAGTTTAAAAGTCTGTAGCCAGCTCTTGGGACATAAATTCTATACAAAGGCCTTTTCTTAGGACATTTGGCATAAAACTTACTTGCAGAAGTCAGTTAGAAGCTTCTCTTTTCTGCCTAAGAATTTAGCAACTTTCACATTAGCCTTTCACATTTTGCTGTCCCAATCCAAATATGCAGCTAGAGTTATTCTACCAGCTGGTAAGAAAGAAAGAGTTGTTAATGTTTCGCCGCATAAAAAGATACAACTGTTGAGTTAATCTTAAATTATTTTTATGCCTCTTATGCGCATAGCTTTTTCTCCTTCTGATCTTGGAAAGCAGCTTTATTTTTTGTTTGCTTTTTCTAATCCAGTGTGATTTAGTATATGTTATTGGATACTTAGAATTGCTCTTATCTTTGAGATACAATTATTTCCACTTGGAATGTATCCTATCCAATTTAATTAACTGAAAACACCATCTAAATGAAATGTATTACTAGCTACAGACTAAACAAAGCTAATTTCCTCTTAAAATTCTGATTCCAGATACTGCCACAGCACTTTTTTTGTAGCTTTCCTTTACCTTTTTGCTTGCTTTAACACTGGAGACTGTATAATTGAAACATAGCTCCTCTAGTCTGGGACTGCTGCATCTGGCTTTTCTAAACATCCTCTTTCAAGGTAGTTTGTTTGGTAATGATTTTTGCTTGATTAAATAAGAGACGACAGATGTGTGCTTCAGTTGTGGGAAGTTTTTTGTCCTGGCTAGGAAAATCAATGGAAGAATCTGTAAAGAAATGTTATATACTTTGTCAAGTTAAAATTTCAGTGCTTTACTGTCAATAATGCTAGTGTATCTGATGTTGAATAGGGCCTAGTTTTATGTCAGTGCTTGAAAATTATGCATGATACAAACCTGGAAGCTTTTTTCATCTTTATTTTTTTCTCATCCTTAATGTAATGGCCTTCATCTTAATTTACTGGGCTTCATCTCCCATAATGACAGGAAGAGAATTTTGAGGGATTAAGTGTTAATATTTAATAGCATTAATTAGTTGTTTAGATCTGTATGGACACTGGCTACTGTTCTCCTGAGAGCTAGAATGCTAGAATTGTACACTCAGTACTGAGATTGAACCTGATGAGCAGAGCAAAACTCCATTCAAGCCTTGCATTTCCTTTACATTAGTGGAATAGCTGCAAATGCTCTTTTTAGCTGCTCTGAGTTGCTTACTATCTAACAACGTCATTAACGTATTTGAGATAACCTTGAAAATACTTCTGTGCATATAGAATGCAATGAACTGTTGCTGCTTTTCTGTTAAAGTCTTCTGTACAAAATCAGATATGCATTTAATAGTTATTAACTGTGAGTTAAACTGTATTTTGTTTTCCAAGGTGGTTAAACAGGATGGTTCAAAGGGAATTGCACACGTTTACTTGTTTGCTCCAGAGAATTTCCCAGACATGGATCATAGCATCAATCGACAGATCAAAAATGCAGACTTGTGGAAGCATCAGAAGGATGTTTTCTTGAGTGTTACACCCAGTGGGACTAGCTCCACAAAAATGACGAGTGATGGTGTTTCAGCTCTACGGTTAACTAGTGGAAGGCTAGAGAAGAATTTCTCTGATTCAGCCAGAGAACCCAGCAGTGCGGTGTCTACCATTGATATGCCTCCACCTCTACCCTTGTCCAAGGCTGGTGAGCTCATGGATGTCTATGTCTCAGTGGCCTGCCATCCAGGTCACTTCATTGTCCAGCCTTGGAAAGAGCTACATAATCTGGAAGCCCTAATGGAAGAAATGATCTTGTACTATAGCAGGGCAGAAGAGAAACCTGTGAACCTTGAAAAAAACAAGCTGTATGCAGCTAAAATTGAAAATCAGTAAGTAGATGCTTAAATTAAAAACAACATCTTTGAAGGCAAGCTTAGCTCTGCTAAGCTTGGCAAGCCAGCTCTGCTTTGTCTGCATTCTTAACAAGGTGGCAGATGTCCAATGATATCTGAGAGATTAAGGGGGTAAATGAGGTTGCAGCCTCTTCATGCTTCCAGACTGCAGTTGGAAGAGTTGACTTCTATTCAGGTAATACCAGATCTGGGAAGCCTGAGCTATGTTGGTGAAGGTCTTTTAGTCATTATTGTTTTTCTGGTGCCTTGACAGTGTATGAATACAAATTCAAATTGTCTGTTCTTGTTCTCCCCCCTTTTAGGTGGTACAGGGTCGTAATAAAAGGAATTCTTAGAAACGGGTTTTTGTCGGTGTATGAGCTGGACTATGGTAAACATGAGTTTGTCAGCATAGAGAAAGTACAGCCACTCATGGATACGTTTAGAAAACTACCTTTCCAAGCCATCACAGCTCAACTTGCAGGTAGGTAGTAAGCATTTACAATTTTTTTTGTTAAAGTCTTACAATAATGGGGATGCCAAATGAACTGAAATGTAAAGTGGACAAAGCCAAAAGCTAAAGTAAGCATGTACCTGCTTGTAAAAACAAGCATGCATGCATGTTTATGTCATCAAAGTACCTCTATTTTTCTTCTTGACATAGATAGTGATAGTTCTGTTTTATTATTTGTTTATTTTAACGCAGCACTTTTAGTTAACATGTATAAAACTGAAGATGACTTAAATGTTCCCAGCAGCTGCCTTTCATTGTTATAAATATTTATCATTTAATGTGTGTGACATCTAACATGCCAAGGACCCAGGGAAATCAAAACTAAATGTTTTTTTGATCCTTAAGTATAACCCATTACAGAAGTGTAAAAGTTATATGTGTTGATAATCTACATAAAGTTAGGAACTAGACACTGAGTTTCTGGAGAAGTTTTTCTTACATCTGTTGCCCCTATTGTAATTTACTGTTTTCCAAATTTACAGTGCGTATTTGGAATCCAGAGTTGCCCGAAATATATTGGTGTTCTCAAACAAACAAAAAAACTCCATGGGGGGGTGGGGGCTTTCAACAGACTTAAGTAAGATTAATTGCCTTGAGAATATGGGGCATAGAGAATCTATACACATCTAATAGCATGAAAAAAAAAAAAAGTTAATCTCTCCTTGCTGTCTTTTCTTTCCTTTTCCAAATTTTTCTTTCATTTCTGCATTGCTTTCAGATGTATGCTTCTCTTCTTACTCAGTTGCTGCTTTCTGCTGCTGTTTGGTCAGCACTAGTCTAGACTTCCGTTACAGAATATGCGACAGGCCACAGCACTGGTGCTGTGATCCTAGGTTGCCTTCTGTGGATCTGCTTTCCTGCGTAGCCTCGGTGTGACCTTGGGGGTTGCTTTAAACTAGTGATGATGGATGTGTTACCGACAGGCTGGGGTCCTAGGAGTGCAGTGCTGAAATGAAGCTGATGTCTAGCTGTGTCTGTCTACTGGGGTAGTACAGGATCCAGCTGAGCGAGCCTGCAAGCCATCCAATTTTCCTGCTTCACAGAATCCCAGGTAGCTAGTTAAGTTGGCCTCTGAGCTTCTTCATATTGTCAAAGCAGGCCAGCTGAGCCTGGAAGACCGGTAACTATTGTCTTGCTATTCTTCCACTTTTCTCTCTGTTTTTTTCATGTCTGCTACCTCTCAGTCTCTGGTCTATTTCCTTGTAAAATCCCCTTTGCTTTGTTTGCTTCCCACCACCCTTTCCTAGCATTAATTACCCTTTCTTAACTGTTGTTGAACTGTTGACTTCTCATTCCTTCTGTATCCTGCAAGGAGCTGTGTTCCTGAGTTGTCCTGTCCTATCAGCAGCAAGCTGCTGCTAGTAGTAAAAGCAAAGTGTTGTCACCTTGCTGTTTTGCTTCTTTTATCCATAAGTAGCTGTTTGTGTATTCATGCATGATATTTGAGCCCTTGTGTCGAGATGCTGTACAGCAGCAGTGGTCTGGGGAGACTAAATGCCAAGTTGGCAGGAGCCACTTATTTCCTGGTGGATTACAGCCATATTCAAAAACCTGTTTGGGTTCTGGCATCGCAGCCCTGAGCAGACATGACTTTGTGGGGTGCTGCTCTCAAAAAAATAGCAGCAGTTACGAGGCATTTAGGCGGCATTTCTCTTCGTTTCTGCTCTCTGCACATCTAGTTAGGGACTTGAAGGTTTGGCAGATGTTTTAGTAGCTGATGCTGTTTGGAGATGAAAATTTAATCTAAAGCAGGGCCAACAGGACAAGTAATTTCAGGCAAAAGACAGAGAAATAGTTTCTTTTGAAAGGATCTTTAGTTCCCTTTTTGTCTTGTTTCTTAATATGCCGTGATCATGATATACTGTAGATTACTCAGTGAGTCAGTGCATTTGCTTTTCACTTTTGCAAACTTGTCCATGCCTTTAGACTTCAAGAAAAAATACATGTCCTAGTCCTAAGCTTGTTTGTGTGGGAACTGAGTGTATGTGTGTTTCTTTATTCTAGAGTTAGGCTGCGTTCAGTAGCACGTGAACATCTGTTTTCTCAAGTATTTGAACTCCCCACACTTCTGTATAAACATAATCATTCAGATTGGTCTAGTCTATAAATGACCTTCCATTTTACTTTACATTTGTCCTAGGAGTGAGAAGCCAGCAGTGGTCAGAAGAGGCATCAATAGTGTTTCGGAATCTTGTGGAGAAGAAACCCTTGGTGGCACAGATAGAGGCAGTTAATGAAAGCACTAACTCTTGGGATCGAAAAATAGTGACATTTCTTGTGGACACATCTCTTCCAGATACTGATATATGGATTCATGATTTTGTGTCTCAAAGTCTTGTGGAATTTTCAAAGGATGATTAATCCCCACCTCTGAAATGTAGCAGCTCAGATTCTTTAGCAATAAAATTAGTAACAGGCTTTGAAAAGAAATATAACTACTACATGGCCTTGGAGACATGAAGGTGATAAAATTAAAAAATCTGTGTTCTGTGAAAAGGGTTTGTTTAACAACTTTGGGTTCTGTTGACTTCAGTTGACTTCCTGAAAATTTGCACTTTGTTTACCATTGTAATGCTAGAATGTTTGGGTGAAAATATTAGAAGAGTTATTTATCAATAAACAATGTTGACTTTCATTCATGTGATCTTTCCCTGATTTTGGAAGGCTTTTTATCTCATACCTATTAGTCAGAGCCATTACTGGGTACTTCTCCCTTTAACTAGCATTTTTATTACTTGGAAAGCATGGAAGCAGTCCTCAATACTTCTGAATTTAGTGTCAGAGACATGCATTATTGGTGGGTTTTTCCCCCTTCCTTAGCTTCCTAAGAGCTGAATAGTTGAAAGTGCCTTGCTTAGGAGACTGCATTTGTGGGGCTTAACTATCCCAGAAGGGTATGCACTTTGTGTGCTTACTAGCCTGCTTGCTGTTCTTTAGCAAGGCTACCACTTTTCTGAATTCCCCACTCCCCTTCTCACCCCAACCCCTGACCAGTTGCTAAATTCAAGGCATTCCTTCCCCTCTTTTTTGATAGCTCATTTTCATGGATGCTTCTGAGAAACTTTCAAGGACTGCTGCTCCCTGGAGACAGGAGTGAGCCATGTCCTATAAGCTCATGGATCGGTGCTTAAAGTCCTCTGAACACTATATTTTTGGCCTACTTTAGAGCCGACTTTATTTTTGGCCTTAGAAATATTTAGAGAAGGTGTAGAGATGATTATATTTCATAGTCTGCTGCCTGGATTTGAGTTTGCTTGCCATAGTCCCTTAAGATTGTTAAATGCAGTATGAAAGCTTTCCACAGTGAATGCCAGCAGAAGGGATTTTTCTGCTGTGCATAGCTATTATGATCTTTCTAGTAATAGAAATTCCACCGGCATGCTGTCTGCATGGGTAAAGGAGACTGGAGAGAAAGGGAACCCTGACTGGAAAGGTGCAGTGCGTATGGAACATTAGGATGGGAGAAACAACATGCATGCAAGCATTCTGAGTAAACAAGCTGTTTAAGCACGTAAGACTTACATTTGCACCCTCTTAGTCTAATTCCGGTGTGGTTCTGGAGAAGGTCTGAGCAAGGAGTCCTCTCGGAAGCCTGGTGAGTGTCTCTGCCTGGACTGTACACAGGGTGTAAGCAGAGCCCTTAGGAATAGCCGGGCAGCGGGACATGAACAGACTGCTAATCTAATGCAAATTGCTAGTTAACATGGTCCTGTCCGTATTGAAGTATGCTGAGGTGAGACTTTTAAGTGTCCCTATTGAAAGAGAAGTTACGTTAATGCCTGAGATACTAATATTTTTCCATATTAACCAATTTCTCCCTCCTCAGCTGCCACAGCAGAGAAGGTGAAGAATGCATGTGAAGGAATCAATGTGATGATGAACTGCTGTAGGATAAAGTTCCATGCAGAAGTTTCCTTCTGTGCAGGACTGCTTCTGAGCCTGAAAATCTGAATGGTGCAGGGCATTAGGGTGAGACAAGCACTTTCCTGAGCTCCTGAAGAGAGTGAGAGTTTTCCTGTGTGTCTAAGAGCGTATGCCACCTTCATCTGCAATCTTGCAAAGTTTGATGGCTTGTTCATTGATAATTCTAATGGCACAGGGCGATTTGCTGGAACTGTTTTGAAACTTGTCTGGTTGTGTGAGGAATGCCCGTGCTGTGTTTGCATCCTTCGAGGCTTGGGGATCTGCTGTTGGCCAGTAGTTGGTTTGTGCCTGTGCACTGATGGAGCGGGCTTTGGGACTCTGCACTTGCAGTGTTAGGGAGTAGAGCCTGGCACGTGTTCAAGAGACTCCAGACGCTTTTTGAGCTGGTTGTCTGCTCTTTCTGGCGTATGCCTCACCCTCTCCTTGGTTGTTGGTGGCTGCTCCAGGGTCTAAATAAGCCCAGATCAGAAGCAAGAACAATATTCATGCAGTCTTACGTGTTTGCAGAGCTCAGTACCAGAGTTCACGCAGGCTGCTTTGTGTGTTGGTAAAACAGAGTGCAGCCGAACTGACTGGCAAACCTAAGAGCACCACTCTCCACCCGGTGAATCATTTTATGCATGCATTGAGCATGCACCCAGGCCAAAGTTACACAAGGCTGTGTTCAGTTCGTGCACTGTATCCAGAAGCTGCACTGATGTCTCCCCGCCTTCATCCCCCCTGTACAGTACCACCCCTGCCTTTAAGCAGATCCATTACCAGTCCATTACCCTACACATACTCTGCTGTTAACTTACTTACCTACTGTCTCCTACCTATGCTCTCTGTGATTTCAGTTGCAGAGCTATGATTTTAGAATCATAAAGTCGAGTCGTTTAGGTTGGAAAAGACCTGTAAATCATGAAGTCCAAGCATTAACCAAACCCTGCCTTCCCACCACTAAACCATGTCCCTAAGCACTTTGTCTACCTTTCTTTTAAGTACCTCCAGGGATGGGGACTTGACCACCTCCCTGGGCAGCCCATTCCAGAGCCTGACAACCCTTTCAGTGAAAAAATTTTTCCTAATGTCCAACCTAAACCTGCCCTGGCACAACTTCAGACCATTTCCCCTCGTCCTATCATCTGTTACGAGGGAGAAGAGGCCGACTCCCCCCTCGCTACCCCCTCCCATCAGGCAGTTGTAGAGGGCGATAAGGTCTCCCCTCTGCCTCCTCTTCTCCAGGCTCAACAACCCCAGTTCCCTCAGCAGCTCCTCATCAGACTTTTGCTCCAGACCCCTAACCAGCTTTGTGGCTCTCCTCTGGACATGTTCCAGTAAGGCAACGTTTTTCCTGTACTGAGGGGCCCAAAACTGAACCCAGCATTCAAGGGGCGGCCTCACCAGTGCCGAGTACAGGGGCACAATCACTACCCCTGCATTTAATGTTACTTGTCTTTGACCACACTGACCAGCCTGTAAGATTCTCTGGTGTATTTGCTAACTGACCTGCTAGCGTTATTTGACTGCATGTTGTGCTCTGGCTTTGAAAAACATGCAGCAGGTGTTGGCTGCACACAACGTTGAACACTTTGAGTTTGTGGAAGTTCCTGATCCATGAAGTAGTTAGCATAATTGGTAACTAGTAGCTAGCCTGCTGCCCTTAGGAGGCATTAGACCTGCCTGCTCTGTGCAAGTTGTTAGTTCACACATAATGCTGTGTGGTTTTTTTCCTTTAGTTTTTCAGCAGTCTGGGGTTTGTAGTGAATGGTTTCTCTATTTTGATGAATGCATGGCACCTCATCAGGGGTGCTTGTCTGCATCAAGCAGGTGGTGGAGTTCCTGTTCCGCGTGCTGATGGCCACTAGAAAGGCCTCCACAGGAATCCTGCGTAGAGTTCTGGGCACTATCCTACAAGAAAGATGTGGATTAATTACAGAGAATCCAGATGAAAGCAAGAACAGTGAAAAGTCTAGAAAACCTGGCTTAAAGAGAAGGATTTGTAGTTAGTCTGGATAGGAGAAGGCTAAGGAGGGGCACACTTTCAAAA